CTATAGGGACATATAAATTAAAATATGTAATTAAAAAAAAAGAGACAGCTGCACTATCAAAAAGAAAGAAATGCCTATGAATATCTAACAATTCAAAACTGGATTTGGAAGACTTGAAGATGAGAGATTTCTGATATTAAAGCAAGCAATGTCTAACTTGTATAGCAATTGCATGAATGCACCTTAATACACGTTATAAATCTTGAACACTCGAGGTGCCAGAAAAGTACATGTCCTTTGGTATCTGTCTTCTCAAGCAAATTCATGACCTCCTATTATGGGTGTTCAGATATATGAAACATTATGAGTGATTAGTGTTTTCTTATATACAAACTAGATAAGTTCCAATAGAACATAAATTAGTGAAGTCAAGATGTGAGAAAAAGCTTTATGTTTTGATAACATGTTAAATTTTATTTTTAAGCCCCAAATTTGACCCACAATATGATTGGATAAAGGTTACAGAAAACAACATGTATGAAATATCAAAATAAAACTGCCTTGACCAGACTCTTTCTTCTAGACATTTATGGGAACTAAAATATTTTCCCAGTACTCAGTCCCTGGGAAAAAGACATATCTTCTCCAGAAAAAGACTCTGTCTAACCTGCCAAAGAGTGCAAGAATATTCCTCTGTTTTCTGATATAAAGTAGTTTCTGAGCAAGAAAGAGGTTTATGCAAAATTGCCGATTTCTAGAAACAAATAATATATTAACTAATGTAATTGTTCATATTTAAAAGAGCTGTTATGAAACTGGTGTTCATGCATATCTAAATTAAGGGAAATCAAAAGTTACTTAGTGACAGAAAAAAAAAAGTTCGCTTTTCAAAGAAAAAGTTCTGTCACCGAAACTGCCAGTTTAGGGAAATTGAACTGGGTTAATGATGGTTGATTGCTACTTAAGAAACAAACAAACAAAAAATAAAAAGCAGGAATAAGTAATAGTCATAAAATAATGGCACAAATAAAATTAGTAAACATTTTAATATATTATGAAATAAATACAGAATGAATAAGAATTCAAATGCATGTATTATTGCTAATTAAGGTAAATCCTGGAACAATATATTCCAGCTTAATAATTACCTCTAAAAACAGCTATATATTTTCTCTGTGATCTTTAATCCTGTGTAGTATGAAATATTATGCAAATGCAAGATTTTCTTTTATGTTTGATTTGAGCTTTATTTTTTCCATTTCTTTGAACTTTCTAAATTTTCCTCACTGCTTTTATGGGTCAGGCAAATGATCAAACCACTTAAATTTATGGAATGTAAGCATTTGTTTGAATGTACTGAATTATAATAACTGTTTTTTTAAAAGATTTGTTCTTGTGAACCTCAGATAATGTTCACCTTGAGTGCTTCTCTGTTTTCACTACCTGGATAAAATTTTAATGTCATTTCTCTGAAAAAGATTAGCTCTAAACTATAATTTTTTTATATTATAGGTTCAACTTAAATTGTAGTTTCAATATGACTAATTGACTTTAAGAGTTGGACTAATGTGAAATCAAGTTAATGAATAAGGATTAAGAAGATTAAAATGACAAAGAAAGAGAATGCAAGCATGGTTTCAACTTCTATGTTTATGTTTACATAAAATGCTTGTGATATTTGTAATACTCCAATTAAGATAACAGCACCTTAATAATGTGGTAATTATGATGACAAGATTTGTATATTTGTGTTTGTGTGTGACTAGGTGTATATCTAAAATAAACATATAAATGTAGACTATAATTATTCAACAAAGTTTATGAAAGACAAAAAGGAACATTTAATAGTTTGGAAGAAAACTAATCCCATTCAGGTGTCAATGGGAAGCAGAAAACCAAAGCATCCTAGGCCTACTTGAATATGCCCAGAGATTCTGCTTATCAGAGACTCTTATTTCCCAGTGGCCTATTGAGTTTTCTTTTTATTTTTTAAACTTTTTGTTTATTTATCTTTATTGCTGAGAATATTACAGATGTCCTCAATTTTTCCCCCATTGCCCCTTCTACCCCGTTCCTACCCCACCCTAGGCCTTCACTACACTATTGTCTGTGTCCATGGATTGTGCATATATGCATATAAATTCTTTGGTTTATCTCTTCCCATGCCCTCACCCCCCTTCCCTCTGAGATTCATTAGTCTGTGCCATGCTTCACGTTTGTAAGTTTATTTTGTTCATTAGATTCCACATATAGGTGAGATCATGTGATACTTGTTCTTATCAGACTAACTTATTTCACTTAGCATAATACTTTCTGGGTCCCTCCATGCTGTCTCAAAAGGTGAGACATCTTTCTATTTATTTATTTATTTATTTATTTATTTATTTATTTATTTATTTATGTTAATCCTCATGGATATTTTTCCATTGATTTTTAGAGTGGAAGGGAGAGAGAGAGAAACGTCGATGTGAGAGACACATATTGATTGGTTGCCTCCCACACAGCCCCAGTCAAACCTGTAACCCAGGTATGTGCCCTTGTCTGGGAATGAAACCTGAAACCCTTTAGTCTGCAGGCCTACAGTCTAACAGCTGAGCCAAATTGGCCAGGGCAAGATCTTTCTTACAGTTCATAGTAGTCCATTGTGTATATGTACCACAGCATTTTTATCCACTAATCTACTGATGGACACTTGGGCTGTTTCCAGATCTTAGCAATTGTAAATAGTGCTGCTATGGCCATAGGGGTGCATATATTTTTCCTGATTGATGTTTTAGAATTCTTAGGATATATTCTTAGACGTGGGAACACTGGGTCAAATGGCAGTTCTATTTTTAATTTTTTGAGGAGACTCCATACTGTTTTTCACAGTGGCTGTACTAGTCTGCATTCCCACCAAAAGTGTACTAGAGTCCTTTCCACACCCTCACCAGCACTTGTTGTTTGATGATTTGTTGTTGGCAGTCATTCTGGCAGGTGTGAGGTGATACCTCATAATTGTTTTAATTTGCATCTCTGTTGATTAATGATTTTGAGTACTTTTTCATGTGGTTTTTGTGTTTTCGGTTTTATTTCTGAAAAGAGCTAGAGTTCTTAGCAGTTATTACTTGCCCCTGTGCTCATTTGGAATACTCTCATGCTAAACAAGGACTGAAGCTATTTCTTGTTTCCAGATGGGTATCTATGACTTATATTCGTAGCTTATGTAACAATGACTTTCACGCCCCAAATGCAGAATAATAAAACTATGTGATTTTTAATATACAAACTGATATTGGAGATCACCATTTGTCCATTGGATAGAAATGAGTTTTACTCTTTCACTTTCAAAAGGGGAGGTGGCTATATATAATTAGATATATTTAGTCTTTCCTGTATTTTTAATTAGTTCACTACTTTTATGATCTTTTTTTATTAAACCACAGTATAGGGAAGTCATTCAAATCAAATGATGGAGCTAAACTTACCCTATGTCTATTATGTAAATGTAAAATGCTCTTTAAATGAATACATTTCAATAATTATATACTTTTCAGGATGCACAGATGCATATTCATGTTCATGTGAAAAGACTGGTAGAATGACTGTCCCTAAGTTAATGTTATAAAATATATTGTTCTGTGGTTGAAAAAATCTTTGCTGATTCATGATACTTGTGACACACAGTTTATTGGGGGAGTTGAAAGTCTCTAGAAATTTTTCAGTGACCTCACAGTCTATAATAAGTTCTTACCTCAGGGTAATCAGTAACTAAAGATTTAGTCAATAGTTTAGTACAGCGATTTTCAACCCTTTTCATCTCATGGCACACATAAACTAATTACTAAAATTCTGCGGCACACCAAAATATATTTTTTACAAAAATAGGTATAATTTTGAGTCAGTCACACTGCACAGCGATTGTGTTGGCTGTTGTCATTTTTGCATTTGACAATCTAAGGGAAAAGAAGTCAGTGCCCCTGACTAAATAGTCAGGTGTTGCATGATTTAAAATTTATTGTGACACACTGGTTGAAAATCACTGATTTAATATTATAATACCCCAAAAGAGGATTCTATAAACTTTCATTTTTATATTGTTTGTCACTAAAGTAAATGAACCAAAACGCTTAGTCTTAAAACATGGAAGCCTCCGTAAGGACTGTGCCATATGCTCCTGACCGTCTGTGGATAACCATGTAGCAGCCACAGGAGCCCAGGGGGGAGCTGACAACACCATCGGCACACATTTGTTGGTCTAGTCTGAGGAACTCAAGTCAGAATTTTCAGCCATTTTCGTCCAGAGCCAGATGTCTCTACAAAAGTAGACTACTAACTAACTCAAAATCAACTGAAAAAGAATTGATTATATGGAAAAAAATGAAATTAGTGATAAAGATTATTGATTTGTTATATTATTCATCTCATTTTAAAAATTCTATTTTCTGATGGGGGTATAAGAAAATCTTTGTCTTCTTTATCTGAGTTCTTGGTATAGTTGGCTCTGTTTGTGTAAAGTGAAAAGCAACATTCTTTGAGTGACATCTGAATTTAAATGATCCCTTAGAATGAAGGGAAAAGATCCTAAAGTTGGCATATTAAAGATTCTGAGAGGCTATTAAAAGAGTGCATTTAAAAAAGAAGCATGCTTAACTAGACAGTGTCCACAGCCTATTCTTCAGAATCTATAGTTTTTAACACCTATTTATATTCCTCTGAACTCAAGGGTTCTCAAAACATTATTTGAAAAATACTACAATAGTATTCATTTATTCCTTGGATTTGCAAAAATGTTCCCTTTGACATGGATTAGCCCTTTATTATTTATGGAAAAGCTCCTTATTATTTAACTTAAAAGAAAAGGCTTTGGGAGAAATTTCAGCTTTGACTTTCTATACATTAGCAGAGAATTGCTATAAAATGTGATTATGAATTATCAGTGGGCTCAAATTGGTGACTGGCTAATTCCAACCTGCAGACCTGTTAAAGTTTGGCTTAAGCAGCTTAACAGAAACACAAAATCAAGAGATTTCAAATGAAAATACTAATTTCTGACAATGATGATAAAATAGAATATCTGAATACTTACCTGGCAGGGGAGATACCATGATTATGAAGGTGGTTTTCCCAGGGCGAGTCTTGTCCATTGCATTCCAGATGTGCTGGCCCCTGTGATTTCTCCAAATGTGGGAAACTCGAATGCATAATTTGTAGTAGTGTGGGACTGCGTTTGCGTCCTCCACCCCTCTCCCCAAATAGAATATCTGCCAAGTTAGGGATGCCTTCCCTCAGGGCAACAATCAGCCAGAGCTACAGTAGTGCTGCCTCCTATAGGAGATGAACTGAATGGAACCCCCTGCTGGCTCACTTTCCTTATGTTTCTTGGCCTAGCCACTGCAGTCATTTGAGTTTACAGCCCCTGATTTCATAGTAATTGACCTTAGGTATGTTTCTAAACATATATTGAATCTCTTCTCAATAAATGGGAAAGATTGCAAACAGAAAACATATCAAACTAAAGCTCATAGCCTCTGTAGAGATAATAAGTCAATAGGAGCACAGAAAATCTCATCTTTCTAGACAATGAACAGTATTAGGAATGTGTCATACTAAAACGAAGAAGCCCACTTCAATCAATCAAACATTGGATAGGTAGGACAGAATACCACAGCACTGTTAGGGAAAAATTAGCATCACTACAAAGTAAAAAAAAAAAAAAAAAGAAAAAAAAAAGCATTATCTTTATTATCTTTATGTCAGCATAAATCTTTCAGATAATAGAATGAAAATTTACACTTATTTTTTTTCTCCAGTTAGCAGGTTTTTTGTTTTTTTTTTATCCTCACCCGAGGACATTTTTCCATTTTTTGTTCAGGTAGAGTGGAAGGGAGAGAGAGAGAGAGAGAGAGAAACATCGATGTGAAAGGAACACATCGAGTGGCCGCCACCCGCACAACCGACCAGGGCCAGGGACAAACTGCAACCGAGGTACGCGCCCTTAGCGGGAACCGAACCCGGGTCTCTCAGGACTGCAGGCCGACGCTCTAACCGCTGAGCCAAACCAGCCAGGGCAGCAGGCATTTTTATACAACTCTAATGACAAAGATTCTGTATGCTGGAAACACCATCCTAAAGTACTTGATTGGGTATTTGGAGGTGGATGAGAAGGGAAAGTAAAGAGCAGGTAATTTATCAAAATAATCTGAATTGTAATCAGTCGCTTTCAGTTACAAATAACAAAAGGGGTTACTATAAAAAATTTCTGAGTCCAAAGTTGAAAAAGAAATAATAAAAGTATATGAATGAGTATGGAGCTAAAGTATTCACAGCCTAGAATTAATTTGTGTTCACTGAAACAGAATTAGTTTAACCACTTGACTAATAATATCTTTTCTCAAATAAATTATAGAAAAGATAAGTTGCAAAAAAACATTTTCAGTGGTTTCTGTATGCAGATTAAGCTCTGAGAATCCTAGCTATGATGTTGATATTCTTTAAACTAATCTAGTTATTCATAGCAGAAAAGGGAAATGGAAAGGCCAACTATTATGGGCATGTCATTTGTGTAGCTTTGCCAGGAAGCTGCAATTTAACACTCACCAGGAAGCCACCCGTCTATTCCCCAGAGTTTGCTGAGGAAAGGAACTGGACGGGAAAATAGATGCATGCCAGTAAAGTCTAGGTGAAATAGGGAAGATACTGCGTGTCAGTCATGAAACAGGTCATTGGCCAGAGTAGGCGTGGCCACTGTGAGCACAGGAAGATTTGCAATATTTGATCCCCTTCAAAGAAGTTTGCTGTCTTACATTCTTGATCTCTTGGTGCTTGCTGTCTTGGCTCCTGGCTTGCAGGAACTCCCATGCTCCTCTCTTTGTCCCCACACACAATGGACTAATAGACTGCAACTAGTCTAGTGCTGTGTTGAACCCAGTTCCAACATGGAACAAGAACTCTGGACTCTGGCTTTGCTTCTAGCTCAACTGAATCCCCAGGTGCACATCATCCAGGACTGGATTAAGGGAAGTGGGACTTTGCAAACCGAAAGATGTAATTTCATGCAAAGAAAAATCACTCATCCTCCTGTTTGAGTCTCAGCAAATTCTTTTTCTTGAGATTTTGTAAGGACCCCACCCAAAGCACTTGTTGAGGAAAAAGATACCTCATTTCCCATGATAACAACTTGACATAGTAATTGGATTATATCTCAGTTTTCCTTATTAAAAAAATAATCAGATATTTATTTTGATAGTTTTTCTTTAAATCCAAAGTTCAGACATTAGTAACTAGACATTAAGACTACGAGGGAATTTATAATAAAAATATGAAAAGATGAGTACAATATTATGGTACAGAGGTAGAATTGTTTCTAAATATTTTTTCAAAGTGTTCCATGAAGAGATAGCTACTGTAATCCATTTTTAATATTTACAGACCATTTCAAACCTTTTGAGAATCTTAGCATCTGAATGAGTAGTTAGTCCTTTCTCTCACTTTAATCAAACATTTCAGCATGAATTCATTCACTCAATACTAAGGGCCATTTCCTCTGAAATTATCCATAAATCTTCTAAGTCCTGGTAGAGAAATGTAAAATTTACCATTTTTTAAAATCTTGAAATTAAACCATGCTGCATTTTTAATGGAACCCTAGGTTGAGTGCGACATCCAGGATCCTTTGGGAAGCTACTAAAACACTCGCGGAGAAGTTTAGAAGAGACTTGCTGATGTGTTGCTCATATGCTTTATTAGTCACTCTTGTTCTTGTATTTCAAAGGAAATATTATGTATTCTTTCAGAAATAGGCCTTTAATCTTTGGTAAAAATTTTCTTCTACTGCTAATGTGTTCTGTGACCTTGAACAAATTATTCATTTGGCTAGGCTTTTGATTAACCCCATATATAATTAGGGTGATGAGTGTTTGAGCTTTATAAAGAATCTGAAATTAATTATATATCAAAATTTTGATACCATGCATTTTTTAAGTTGTAATTTTAAAATAATTCTAGATCTGTAGAAGAATGACAAAAATAGAATTTCTGTATTCTCTTCATTCAAATTCCTTTAATATCTTACATTTCTATTATGATATATTTGTCAAAACTAAGAAATTATACATTAGTACACGTTATTAATTAAAACTTTAGCTTTGATTGGATTTCACCAGTTTTTCTATTGCCTTTTTTTTTTTCTCTTTCAGGATCTAGGCTCAAATCCCATATTGCTTTTAGTTGTTATGTTTCCTAAGTCTCTTTCACATTGTGATAATTTCTGTCTTCCTTGTCTTAATGACCTTTACATTTTTCAAGATACTGGTTAGGTACTTTGTTAAATGCCCCTTATGTGGATATGTCTGATATTTTCTCATGAATAGATGGAGGTTTGGAATCTGGCGAAGGAATGTCAAAGATATTATATGCATATCCTTTTTATTACATTATATTAGTTAGCCATGATAATAATGTAATTTTCACTGGTGACGTTTGTCCTGATCACTGATTATGTCCGTCAGGTTTCTCTATTCTAAAGTTACTATTTTTCTTTTTCCCGTACTCCATTTGCTAGAACAAGTCACTAAGTTCAGTCCACACTAAAGACAAAGAGAATAAAGCTATGTCTCCTAGAAATAAGTGTATCAAACAATTTGTCATCATATATTAAAATTTTGGAAATGAACTTCAGGGCTATTCAAAGGTCCTGTTTCATTTATTAATTTTAGCACTCATCAATGAGTGTGATGTTTCAGTTCTATCTCCACTGATTAATTAAAATTCTGTAAGAATATTTATTCCATCTCTCCCATTGTTTTATTTATTCAACCATTTACTCATATCAGTATAGCCTTATGGAGATTTACTATTTTAAAGATATTTTTATTGATTTTTAGAGAGAGAGGAAAAGGGAGGGAGAGAGAGGGAAACATTAATGTGAGAGCAAAACATTCATTGGCTGACTCTTGTACACCCCCTATCTGGGATCAAACCCATCACCCAGGCATGTGCCCTGACCAGGAATCAAACCAGCAACCTTTCAGGGCACAAGACAATGACCAACCAACTGAGCCACACAGGCCAGGGCTACATTATATTTTGTGTTATGGTATTTTACGTTATTATTATATTGTTTAAGTTGTTCCAAGTTTTGCTATTGGGACCCCTCTTGGCTTGGTTTCTGAGTCTGTTTGATAGAACCCAGTTTGGCTTTTTGCATGCATGCACGCGCGCATGTGTGTGTGTGTTTCCCTCTTTACTTTTTGTCACCAGAAGTTAATGCTCGAGGATCATCTTGTGTTTTCCCTGCCTGTCCTAGAATTAGCTGTTTCTCCATGATGTCCTGATACCTTTTATTGGATAATAATATTTACATCCTTTTCCTAGGACTTCCATAACAAGCTACCATGAACGAGGTGGTTTAAAAACAATAGGAATTAATTGTTTCACAGTTTAGAAAACCAGATCTGCAACCAAGATGACAGTAGGATTGATTCCTTTAAGGACTCTGAAGGATAATTTGTTGCATTCCTCCCTCCTCGCTTTAGGTGCTTGCTGGTAATTTTTGGCACTCCTTGGTTTACAACTGCATTGCTCTAATTCCTGCCCGTGCCATCACATGGGCCTTCTCCCTTTTGTATTTTTCTGTGTCCTCTCCTGTTCTTATAAGGACACCAGTCATTGGATTTAAGGCCCACCCTAAACCAGTATGACCTCATTAAATAATGACATCTGCAAAGACCCTTTTCCAAATAAGGTCATATTCTGAGCTTCTGGGTGGACATTAATTGAATTTTAGAGGGACACTGTTAAACTCACTACATTATTTAGAAATCAAGATCTGGGCACTACATTTTAAATAGGAAAATCATTGTATGTGTGTGCATATGTATTTTGGTCAATGACCGACTTCATACACAATGGTGATTCCATAAGATTATAATAGAACTAGAAAATTCCTCTCATCTACTAGTGTTGTAGCTGTTGTAATGTTGCAGTGCCATGGGTTCATCGGGTGTGTGTGGTGATGCTGGTGTAAACAAACCCACTGCGCTGCCAGCCCAACAAAAATTAAGCACACACAATTATATACAGTACATGGTACATAATAATAATAATTAACAACTGTTACTGGCATATGTATCCACTCTATTATCTGTTATTTTAGAGTGTATTCTTTTCAACTTATATATAAAAAAGTTTGCTGTAGCCCTGGCCGGTTTGGCTCAGCGGTTGGAGCGTCGGCCTGCGGTACA